CACTCTGAAGCCAAAAATACAGCCTTTACCAAACCCATGCTGAAGGTCAAAAGAGATAAAAGAAATCTCTCAGTGGATTTTATTATTTAAGAGACCACTAAAAGCACCCAGGAATGGAGAGGAAGGTAAGAAGAACCACAATCCCACAAACAAGCTGAGTGGAAGGGCACCAAGTACAAAGAGGCCAAGACATTACAGGCGGAGAGAGGACTTTGATCTGGAAAGTAAAACGGTGTAAAGTTAACAGTTAAGTAAAGCTAACTATGTTTGTGCACAAAAGACAGAATTAATCACCTAATTAATCTTACTCTCCAGCATGCACAAGGGTAGATGAGGTCAGTGAGGGATAGAGTTCATGAAAGTCAGAGTAAGGTAAATATGCCCTGGTGAAGCAAACACCCCAATTCTTTTTTTGGGTGCTGGCTGAAAAAAGAAAAGTCAGGCCTCCCTGATGGTGCAAGGGGTTACACTGTGAGGCTATCCTCAGCCTCTGCAGCATGAGTTTGATCCCCAGCCAGGGAGATTCCCACATGGCACAGCAGACCTCTCTCTTGACTTGCAGGCTGCTCCCCTCAACAGTGTGTTTCAGTCAGTCTGCCTGTTCTGTTCCCCACTCTGTCTCTGGTGAATCCTCTCACCCCCCACACACCTCTGGCCCGTACCCCAGTTCTTGTATGTATAAATAAATAAATCCTCAAAAAAAAAAAGTACCACCTTACACTAGGAACCATCAGGTACCATCTTATACTTCTGCCTGGTATGTTTATAGAATTATAGAGAATAAAGCATCTTCATTTCACAATGTCATAAAATAGGGATTGTTCGTGGAATGTGTTATTTCAAGCACCTAATGCTGAGGGCTCCGGAGCTGAGCACTGCGGCCACCCCAGGAGCTGTGCATTCAAGCACAGCATTGCAAGAGTCCTCTCTGCTCACCTTCATTTCCCTGCTGGTGCTGCTATCAACAAGCACAGCCTGACTGCCAGTCCCTGGGTATTCTCTGGCTCTTTCTGCTGTACGCCTTCTAGATCAACAGGTCTTTCTCCAGTGGTGTCTCTAGTTTGACATTTCAGCCTCCCAAAGAATGGCCCAGCTCAGCTTCCTTGTTCCCCCCAACCAGGCTATGCTGCTATTGACCCCTATCTCCCTTAGAACTCTAAGGTCCACTGTCCTGTAACATAGCAGCCCCCCAAGAGGAGTTTCCAAATTAATCAACGATTGATGAATAACTGAGTGAGACTGGAATTTAAAGACACTGTCTCAGTTTGTCATGCTTCTACAGTTAGGCTTTCTCTCTGTACTGGCAAAGTCCTAAGGCCTCCCCACTTTTATGAACTGACTTTTCTACAGTGAGGTGGCCTGGTTGCTGTCTAGGTTTCCTATGTGATTACCAAAATGGTCTGGTTATACAGACGACCCAAAACTGCTGGACCACAGTTCTGAGGCCACCGTGCAGCAAAACAAGTTCAGATATTCCCCCGTCTTCTGCCTCCCTAGAGAACTGCATTCTGGTAAGCACTTAATAATCAACACGTCTGCATTTATGTCTGCGTTTCGACAGCAGACAGCAACTCACAGCGAGAGAATCTTTTTCTTCCTCTCTATTTGAGTCCTATTGATTCTGTAGTTGAGGAGGAATCAAAGTGCTATCCAAACACCCAATGTTCCAAATGGTGGTGTTATTACCAGGCTCTCTGGTCCGTCTGGCTCCCTACCTCCACCCATGAGGTGCCTTGCTGGAGTCTGGCAGAACATTATGAACTTTTTTCCTGACCTATATTCACAACACATTTGCTGTCCTCTCTCCCTTTAGGAACTTGTTAATTTTGCTGAAAAAATATATGTGTGTAGAAATACAACTTTTCTTATTCAACCTCATAACCATGTAGAGAAGAACAGCTAAGAAACTATTAAAGAGGAGTTCTTAAGCTAAATTGTCTTAATTAGGAATTCAGATGTTCCTCTTTTACTGAAAAATACAGAGCTGTTCAAATCAGAGTGGAAATTGGGGCCCCAGCGAAAGCAGCATCTATGGCTGGATCTCCAGTAAAAGGCCAGAGCTGAAGCCAGACAAGTCACCAAGTCACCCTGTGTTTTTCTCTCTAATGCCAAATGGTCCTTTGGCATCATTTTCCTTTCTACTCTTCAGTGCTGTGAGGCAGCCAAAGGCCAAAGGACCTGCAGCCCCACAATTTTCTCAGGTCCAAGGTACTCGCCTCCCTCAGGAGCAAGGCAGCTGGACAGGACGAGGCTCTGTTCTCACAGACCCTCTGTGTGGGAGGACAGGCCAGATAATAATAGTACCCATCTCCTAGGGCACTGTTGCAAGTAGATATATGTGAAATGTTTAAAATCATTAAAAATCCTATTTTAAGAGACTAATGATAGGAGAAAATGGCCAGAGGACAGAATTTCACAGCTCTGTGGGATGGTGGTCCAGTCTGCCCTGCTCCACAGCAAGCCCCCAAAGAAGAATTTCCAAGTGAATCAATGATTGATAAATGACTCAGTGAGATTAGAATTTAAAAATACTGTCTGTTTCTCATCACACACACACACACACACACACACACACACACACACACACACTATGGGTGCCACAGCTCTACGGGCGGGGGGGGGGGCGGTGTCTGACCTGTGTCATACTTTGTTTTTTCTTTAACTTCTACAATGGCCATTTTCTCCTATCATTAAATAGTCTCTTAAAATAGGATTTTTAATGATTTTAAACATTTCACATGTATTTACTTGCACTAAGACCCTAGGAGATAGGTACAATTATTATCTAAATTTTACAAATGTAGACATCAAAGAGTAAAGTAACTTGCCCAATGTTATGCCTCAAGAAAGTATCAGAGAATGTGCATTGTTGGTGGAAAACAGTAAGGAGGTTCCTCAAAAAGTTAAAAACAGAACTGCCATGTGATCCAGTATTGCCATCTCTAGCTATTTACCTGAGGAATATGAACACACTAATTCAAAGAGAGAGACACACCCTGTGAAAACTACTCAGGTGCTCAATGACAGAGGAATAGATTAAGAAATGTGGTATGTATGCACAATGGAATACTATGCAGCCATAAAAATGACACTTGGCCATTTGTGACAACTTGAATGGACTTTAAGGGGATAATGCTAAATGCAGTAAGTCAGAGGAGAAAGAAAAAGACCGCATGATTTATCTCATTTGTGGGGAGAAAAGCAACTGAATAAATAAAACCAAAGCCTAAAATGACAACAGAATGGTGGTTACCAGAAGGGAACAGTTAGTGGTGGATGGTGACTGGACATCTGGTGATGTGCATGGTGTGATATACACAGTTGCTGAGGTGAGAAACCCTATGCCTGAAGTCTATATAGTGTTACAAACTGATGATACCTCAGTAGAAAAAAGAAAGAAAATAGCAGAGTTGGAATTTGAGCACAGGCAATCTGCAGACTGCAGGCGTCCCTGCCTTCATCTTCAGCCTCTGAATTTCAAGGTGCTACCATAATTACCCTACCTACCCTGCTCCCAAAGTTAGATGTGTGTGTGTACGTGTGTATACTCACAATCAGTTTAACTTCAGATCTATTATTAATGATGGCCATTTATTAGATAAATTTTCATTCTCATTAAGAGATTAAAAAAAAACTATTACAATCCAGTGATTTCATCATTGTTGAAAACAGTTGGACAAGACAGGGAAGTACTTAAAATTCTCTGGGATCCTTCCATGTTTTCTAGTTTTAGTATTATTTCTCAAATGTCAAAAACTGGTAAGTTGCAAGGGTATTACTAACTATAGAAGGAAAGCTCCTTGGTATACAATTTTCAAATAAATCCTCCCTCCTTCCCAAAAATTGGAGACGCCATTACTTATAATCAATTAGCAAAGTCTCTTTTTGTTTTTAAAATTCTCAGCGCTGGCAAGATTATAAGGTACTTTCAAACACTGGAAATGTAAACTCTGGAACTCGAACTATAAATATGACTTTATTGAACAATAACTTGTCAACAAGTATCAAGATTTTGGTGTCCTTAAATTTAGCAGTTTACTATTGCTGAGAAATTATTCTACAGAAGCCATTGATAATGACAATTAACATAGAGCTATAAAAACATTCTTGGAATATAAAAGCAAACTGACCCCCTCTAGTTGGACATTTAAGTTGTATCAAATATTTTATGTTAGATGTTCGTTATTACATGTTGAGAGATAAAAATGTTGGATGACAGTAGATACAGTGTTGTTCCCTATTGCTTTCAGAATGTAGCACCTCAAGCTGAATTTATGAGCAGCATAATCAAAATTAGTCCTTTCTTATCAATGCCTTTTCACCCATCCTTATCACGGATCTCCAAATAAACAAGTTATTTTCTTTCCCTGTAAGAAAAAGCAAAGCTTCTACTTTTCATAAAAGAGACAGAAAGGATAAATAGATAAAAAACCAGTGAATGTATAGAAGTATGTTTATGCTGTGTGGTATATAAGAACAGATTCTTTTGGTTAAAGATATTAGAAACAAACTACGTGGCCCAAAACAGATGAATAGATCAAGAAGATGTGGTCTATATACACAATGGAATATTACTCAGCGATCAAAAAGGAAAAACTCATGCCATTTGTTACAACACGGATGGAGATGGAAGGGATTATGCTAATGGAAATAAGTCAGAAGGAAAAATAAAAATATCAGATGGTTTCACTTATACGTGGAATATAGAGAAACCAAATTGAGGGTCACATAAAGACAAGCTTATGAATGAACCCTGAAAGCGAGTAAGTACACAACTGAAGCATCTAGAGGTGGGGGGGCAGTTAAGGAGGGTAAAACAAAGAAGCAAGGAAGCACAATGGATGATGGTGGTGGACTAAGGTGATTTTGTGATAGCGATGAGACCTGAGGAAGGGGACTTTATACTTCCAAGACACCAGCAACAGTGCAAGGCAATGTTACCTCAATTCAAATAACTAATTAATTAATTTTTAAAAAGTAAAGATGTTGGAGATATTTACCTGTACCATGTGCTTTCATCACAATGGAGAAACATAAGCAGTCAGTTCTTTTCCAGAAGATCTTTTCACCCAGATTTTGTTTGAGTAGAAAGGGTGGCAGTAGAGAAACTCAATGTAAAACACCTAGACCTGTAATAACAAGAATAATATTCCCCCTGAGTTAGGTGGTTTTCAGAGGCTTTCATTCACATTAGCTAAAATTACAGAAAAGAGAAATGTATTTGCATCTTCTCTCTCTCTCTCTCTCTCACACACACACACACACACACACACACACACACACACACGGTTCTGAAGTCAGAATACCAAAACGTCAGCAAGAAGACACAAAGCAGATGGTTTTGGCTCAGGGTGTCTGTCCATTCTCTCTCCTGTCCTTAGGGATGTCACCATCAACATGATCCTGTTCCTCCTCTTTCCTGCCTAACGATTCCAAAATGTCATAGAAATAAAAAGTATTTAGTTCTTCTCCAGAAAATGTCAGGAATGTTACTGAATCTGCAGTTCTCTCAGATTTCTTCAGGCCACAAAGTTGTGCAGATTTAATGAAGGTATTTACCCTAACAGCCTGCCCTTCGCTGCTCGTACCTCTGTGGAGACCCAGGTAAAGCACGCAATCAGTGATACCCATCACCGACATTAAGTGAACACTTACTATGTTCCTGGCACTGTGCTAAATGCTTTAGACACATCACCCTGCTCTCTCGCACAGTGTAAGATAGCTGGCGAGCCTTATTATCTCTGTGTGGACTGACAAGATAATGAGTCCATGTAGCTAGCAAATGTTAAAGTTGGTAGTTAAGCCAACGTTGTTCACAAAGGCCATGTTCATAATCCTAGTACTTAACCCTCTCTCCAAAATTGATCTTGCGATCAACACCCCTGTACTTATTATTAAAAAGTTAAGTATCAAATCAACATTATCTTCTTTTCCTCAGGGCTGTTAAGTTACCCAACTTTTGGCAATCCTAACTCTTTTTCTGATTTGGTTATCTTTGATTTTTCTTGCCAAACTCAACCCAAATCATCATCTTTATATTTCAAGCAAGAGTAAATGTATAGTTCTTTCATTACCTATTAAACTTAAAATGCCAACGAGTCCCATATCCAGATGCCAAAACACTAAGGAAAAACCTAACACACAAAGGAACTACTTAAGCGGTGAAATTTCATTAGAAAGAAGGTAGATAATAAAATCAAAAGCCATATGGGAATCCCTAAATCAAGATATGAAAATAAAGTGTGGAGTTTCTATAGAGTATAATATATCTATGGCTTAAATAATATTTAAAAGATTCTGCCTATCTACAAATGCTATATATTGAACTGTTAGGTGCTAGAACCATTGCAACACAAAACAGATAGGAACATATCAAACACCAACAAAGTTATTTTTGGTCACGTTATAATCTCCTAGCTGTACAAGTGTACACACCTAAGTAAGTGTTGATCTGCATTAAGCCTCTGTGCTTTTGAACATGCCACTCCCTTTAATGAACCAACCTTTCCTCTCCTTTCCAGGTGGAAGACACACCTGCTCATTCTTCAAGGCCAACCTGCAACCTTAGTTCTTCCTTATCTCTTTCTCCTGTCCCCCCTTCACATTTACTGGAAATTCAGGTTGAATGGATTCTGCTCTCCTATATTTCCTTAGCCCAGCAACGGTACCCATGTCCACCTGGCATCTTCCTTCCCCCAAAAGAAAAGGGATTCTGTGCCACACGCAAGCACGCATCAGTGATTCTGCCATCAGCGGGCCAATGCACAGACTCTCCTGACTATTACCCAGCCTCCCAGTTGGCCCCCCTGCTTTCAGTCCTGCCACCGCACCATCCATCCCCAGCTCCTGCTTGAAGCAGGACACTAACTTTCCACTGAGCTCAGAAATTCTGAACAGGGCCTCCGAGGCCCAGCATAAGCCAGTCCATCTTCTTTTCCAGCATGCAAGGGCAGCTTTTCTAGCTTACGCCAATTCCTTACAAGTGCTTTGTTTTCTTAGGCCCTGGGGCCTTGTCTCTTGATCTGCTCTTTGGGAAGACTTCTCCCCAAATTACCCACTTTCTGCATCAAATCACCAGTATTTTTCCCTCCTCCAGCTCTCAGCTCAGGCCTCTTCAGGGGGCCATTTTCTGGCACCTTGGCCAGGTCACCACCTCCTTCTACAAGCTTTTGCAGAATCATTCTCCTTAGATTGGTCATCTTTGTAATTTTACATTGTTTTGTTAGATTAATTAATTAGTGCCTGTTTGTCTCCCAAATTAGTAAGCTGTAGAGAGACAGAACTGTGGATGTTCTTACCATTTTATCCTCAGTATTCAACAGGGTGCATTGTGGGCATATAATGAAGATCTACTGAGTGAATGGCAAAAGGAAGAAGGCATAGTGGGGGGTAACACAGAAGAAAGTGGGGGTAACACAGGAAGGAAGGAAGGAGGGAGGGAAGAGGGGCAGGGAGAAAGGACATTCCTATCAAAATTTAATTAATTTTGGGCCTCCCCTGGTGGCGCAGCGGTTGAGCACTCGGCTGTGAAGCTGCCCGCAGCCTCTGCAGCGTTGGTTCGATCCCCAGCCGCCATCGAGGGTCCTACATGGCACTGCAGACCTCTCCTGCGTGTCCGCTGCTCCCCTCAGCAGTGTGCTTCATCAGTCTGCCTGTTCTGTTCCCCGCTCTGGCTCTGGTAAATTCTCTCACCCTCCCGTCCTTTTGACTGTACCCAGTGCTTGTATAAATAAATAAATAAATCTTTAAAAAAATTAATTAATTTCAGTTGATTTGATTTATTGATGGCTTTTCAACAGAGTACAGGTCTGCCTTCCTCTGAATGGCATGTTAGGCTCCTAGTGATCTGACCGGTCAGCTGTCTCTCCTCTAGCTGCACCTGACCGCAGCATTTCTGAATCCCTGCACACCCCTGACTGACCTCACCTTGTTTCACATTATCTCCATTGCCTGGTTTGTTCCAATTCTTCTGCACATCATCTTTTTAAACTCAAACGTATCCTTCAAGTCTCAGAGTTAGGGCTGCTTTTGTGTGAAGACCTCCAGAATACCTTCTGCGAAGCTGAAGCTCTAAAGTAATTATCATATGTTCCTGTACTTTTCCTTAAGCAAGTTAATCCCTCCTAATACAATGTAAGTCCTTTGAAGGCAAGGGATGCAGATTGCCTCATCACTGTACTCCCTGAGGTTAGCACAGGAGCCTGGCAGGAAGTCAATGAATAAATATTTGTTGAATTAGCAAAGGAAGATCACACACACACACATATACACACACATATACACACACACATATACATACACATATAGTTGATGTGTACATCATATGCTATGTGTGTATACACATATATATGTAATGTGTGCATCATATATATTAATAATATATTTTAAATACTGAACTCGAGCTGTGCACATACAAATATGTGTGTATGATAGGTATATAATGAATATACATGCATGTATAAGTTACACATATATGTATACATGCATGTACATGAATAACACATATACATTCTACATCCCACGCATGTGGCATTTTTTTACGTGTATACACATTCACACATATCATATATACATTATTTGTATGTACACAGCTCCAGAGTCAGTATTAAAATATACTACTAAGGGACCTCTTCTGGTGGCAAAAGGTGTTATGCATCAGCACTGTGAAGCCATTCGCAGCCACTGCAGCTTGAGAGGGATCCCTGGCTAGGGAGCTACCTAGATGGCACAGCACACCTCTCCTGTCTCACCCGCTGCTCCTCTCACCAGTGTTTTTGGTCCATCTGCCTGTTCTGCTCCCCGCTCTGCTCTGTCTCTGGTGAATCCTCTCACGCCCCCATACCTCTGGCCTGTACCCAGTTCTTGTATGCATAAATAAATAAATAAATCTTTAAAAAATAATAATAATAAAACATACTATTAGTAGAGTATATTATAATCTTACTGAATGTTTTGAGGCATAACAGTTATAATTTCACCTGTAAAATGGGATTAATAATAACACTTAACAGAGCAATTGGGAGAATTAGATTATTATTTAAGTAAAATGTTTAGCACAGTGCTCAGCTTATTGGGAGCACTCTGTAAATATTAATAGTATAATCATTATCACTATCAACATTATCATTAGGGCAACTGAGCTGAATTTATAATTTATGCTACAAATTTAATAGTTTCATTTGCCAACATTTTTTTCCCACTAAAACATTAATTAGCATAAGCATCTCTATAAGGCCATAAAAATGGCTACAGAGTTGCACTCAGCAAACCGAGGATAAAGGATCTTACTCACCAAAAGACAAGTTTTTTTGTTTTGTTTTGTTTTGTTTTAGCAATATGTAATATATGTGGAGAGGTCCAAAGGCATCAACAGAAAAGAAATATTACTGTGCAAAATTATCTAAAAAATCTAAATGGCAGAAATAACAAATATCACTCAAGTGCTATAAACATTTAGCTCAAATCATTGAAAGTGTTTACTGTAAATTTTTTCTTTTGTTAAAAAACAAGATAGAGATACATATTCATTCATGTCTTTTAATTACTGGCCAGAGTAATGTGACTATATAAATAAATATTATGCATGTCTAATGAATATGCCATAAAATGTTTGAATTAACAAAAAACACATTTCATATGTTGTCTATTAGATGCTATTTTGATTTAGAATTGTTGAAATTTAATGAAATAGACTAAGCAAAGAGAAAAAAGGGGCAAGACAATTTTGCAACACTCTTTGGGAAAAACATAATGTGAGACTGAATTATTTACAAGTGCTTCCAGTAGTACACAGTTGAGCAGTATGAACTGGTAATAATTTATTCTACAGAGAAAACTAATAATTTGATCCTATTGCTCTTTCTCTTTTATACTGGCTGAATTTAAATAATGAATATTAAAGTGCTGTACATGTTATGTGCAATTGAAATATAAAGCACTATCATTATTACATTTTAAGACTTCTGTTTTCAATTCATCTTTATCTCTGTGATAAATGCTAAAACTCAAAAGCAAGTCAGATTTCTACTTGGTGCCTAATCGTTTTCTGTGAAATATTGGAACTATAGAGGGGAAATATAAAATGCTAAATTCTTGCATTCTAATGGCTTTGCCGTTAGAATATTAGACC